GTTCTGTTTTCATGTCTGATATTAGTAATATGTCTTCTCTCTCTCTCCTTTTTTAAAGTTAACCTAGCTAGAGGCTTAACAGTTTTATTGATATTTTCAAAGAACTTGCTTTTTTAAAAGTAGTGTTTTATAATACAACAAAGTATTTCCAATTCTTCGTTCCAGACCCTTGTAACATCACTGCCATATGTCTCACTGATCCATAAGGTATTACTGTAACTAATGTATTGTTGCTGTTATTATTTTTAGGAAAAAAATGTTATCTGTTAGATTGCTTAAGGATAAGAAAACAAGATTTTGTTTTATTTCACATATTCCTTCTCTAATGCCCTTTATATAGATACAAACGTCTGACCTATATCATTTTCTTCCTTCTGAAGAACTTCTTTTAACATTTTTTTTTCAAGGCAGATCTACTAGTGACACATTCCCTCAATTTCTGTCTAAGAAATTCTTTATTTTCCCAATTTGGAAGGAAAATTTAACCACACACTCTTCTTACTCTCATGGTTTCTGAAGAGAAGGCTGATGTGATTCTTATTCTTGCGCCTCTGTAGGTAAGGTGATTTTTTTTTTTCCTCCAAAGTCTTAGATTTTTTTTTTCCTTTGTCTTTTATTTTCTGCAGTGTAAATATAATTTACTTTGATATATTTGGGAGAGGGGAATTTATACCACCTGGTGTTCTCTGATTTTTTTTTGGATCTGTGGTTTGGTGTCTGTATTTAGTTTGGATTCGTTGGAAACTTTTCAGCCATTGTTACTTCAGATATTTCTTCTGTTCCTTTTTCTTTCTTCTGTCTCTGGTATTCCCATTATGTGTACATTACACTTTTGTAATTGTCCTGCAATTATTGGATGATCTCTTCTGTATTTTTCATTCTTTTTCTCTTTGCATTTTAGTTCTGGAAGTTTCCACTGACATTTCTTCAAGCTCCCTGATTCTTACCTCAGTTGTGTGCAGTCTACTGATGTGCCTGTCAAAGGCCTTCTTCATTTTCATTGCAGTGTGTTTGATTTCTAGCATTTTCTCTTGATTCTTTCTTAAGTTTCCATCTTTCTGTGTACATTACATATCTGTGCTTGAATGTTGTCTACTCTTCCCCTCTGGAGCACTTAGCATATTAATTATAGTTGTTTTAAATTGACAGTCTGAAATTCCAGCATCTCTGCCACATCTGAGTCTGGTTCTGGCGCTTACTGTCTCTTCAAACTGTGTGTTTTTTTGTCTTTTAATGTGCCTTGGATTTTTTTGTTAAAACCTAGACATGATGTACTCATTAGGTAAAAGGAATTGAAGTAAATAGGTCTTCAGTGGGAAATTTTATGTTTTTCTAGGGATTAGGCCGTGTTACTGCAGTAGCTGTGGTGTCAAAGGCTAAGCTTTTGTCTAGTGTCTCGTTTTTGTCTCCTCTCTTGTCTTTAAGTGTCCCTAGAGACTTCTTAAATAGGATCTGAATGGTGCAGTTCTTTCAGTTGCATTTCCTGTTGTTGTACAGGAGCATTATTGATGGTGTGGTAGAGTGTGGAGAGAGAGGTTGCGTTCTATAACCCCGTGATCAGATCTCAGTCTCTGGGCTGTGGCCTTCACAAGTGCTTCTCAGTTCTTCCTCCTTAGGTGAGACGTAACACTAGAGGGGCTTGGCTTGGTGTTTCCCTTCCCACAGGCTGGTTAGGCTTTGGGAAAGTAGTTTCTTTTGAGGATCTTATTAAGAAGAACAAAATGCTTTGGCGGAAATCAAAATGGTTATTTTTCCCTTCTTGATGGAAACATGAGAGTATTTTTATTGATCTTAACGATGAGAACTTGTTGTAGGACGTCTGAAGGTGAAACTCATAAAAGGGTGGGATTCCCTGTAAGATTGGGCACCGCTGAAGCTTTTAACTCTCAAACCTGCCCCCTCCCAGCCTTCAGCAATTTGCCAATTACAGTTTAAACTTTCTTGCCTTGGTGGTAGTTTCCGTGGGAGGTTTCTGCTCTGGTAAGTTGTGATCCTCTGTGTCTGCCTGTCTGTCTTTCCTGTTTGAGGAGCAGCAGTTTGCTCTGTGGCCTCGATTCTCTGCTGAATCTAACAAGATTCTTGATTTTCAGTTTGTTCAGCTTCCTGCTTGTTAGGGTGCAGTGGTGACTTTCAGGTTCTTCGTGTGCAGAAGTGGAAACCTCAAGCCTGGACTACTTCCCTTTATCATTTCTTTTCTCCCCTCTTTCCATGGTTCTCCTTTCTCTCAGCTGTTGAGTAGCTGTGAACTGTCCTCTGTCTTCCTTCCCAGCACCCTGCTCTGGAAGTTCAGGGGTCTGCCCTTTACCCTCTCCTCAGCCTACATTGCTCTCCCCTAATGGCCATATCTCCCTCTATGGCTCTAACAGCTAGACAACGAAGTCTCCTTGGTCTCGTCAGCTTTGGTGTCCTGAGTGTCCGACATATCAGGGGCTCTTCACAGTCGGTGTCTCCAAAACGGAGTTTATGTTTTATTAGCCCTCCATCCTCCCATCATTGCACCTTACCTCCTCCCTTCTTTCACAAACACATCCAGATTCCCCTCTTCCTTTTTTTGTGTTCATTGTGCTGACACAGTGACTACCATCCACTTACTTGTCCATACCAGAAACCTGAGTGTTATTCTAGACTGTTCTGTCTTTCTCATCACCCTCCACATCCAATCACTCACACAGTCCTGAGATGTTTACATCTCAAAGGAAAAACACATTCATTCATCCCTGACCCCACTGTCCTCTGTCAGAGTTTGCCCTCTGAAGCCTGGAAGTCTGTCCTCTGTCAGCCCTCCCTGCCTCCTGCATCCCACCCTCCATGCTGTCCACTGTGCAGTGTTCCGGAAAACATGCTCCTCTGTGGCCTACAGAAGCTGTCTCCCACATGGCATCTGTAAGCAATTCATCGAGAGCGTAGTCATAAAATATTAGAAATTCTGTGTATATTTATTTTTTTATCTCAACTTATAAAAATGTTTTCTTTTTGCAATGAAATAAAATACCACATGCACATACTTTATAAATGTACTTGTAGAAGGTCGAATACTCAAAAGTTATTTTACTGTACGTTGGTGAGGAAGCTTAGAGGCCATGGCCTATGGCGTATGGTTCTAGTTCCTCAGCTTGGTGGAGCAGGCCCTGTTTTCTCACCCCGCCTGCCTTTCCTAGACTCCACTCCCGTTCTTTCTCCATTTATCCCTGCTTTGGGAACTGCTTCATCTTTAACTACATCCTTTCTAGAAGTTACCAGGCTAATATATGTCATCATACTTTAGTTACACTGTTGCTTCTGCCCAGAATTCCTATTACGATTCCCATTTTCCATTCCCCATCCCAGCCCTGCCTTGCAAAGTCTGATTCCTTTTTCTTTTCTTTCTTTCTTTTTTTTTTTTTTTTGTGTGTGTGTGTTTGTTTTGAGACGGAGTCTCGCTCTGTCACTCAGGCTGAAGTGCAATCTCAGCTCACTGCAACCCCTCTGCCTCCTGGGTTCAAGCAATTCTTGTGCCTCAGCCTCCTGAGTAGCTGGAATTGTAGGCACCTGCCACCACACCTGGCTAATTTTTGTATTTTTAGTAGAGATGGGGTGTCACCATGTTGGCCAGACTGTTCTTGAACTCCTGACCTCTTGATCACCAGCCTCCCAAAGTGCTGGGATTACAGGCGTGAGCCACAGAGCCCTACCGATTGTTTCTTAATTCCTGCCTGAGATGCACTCCCTGGTGCGACTCTGCATTCCACAAGTACGGTAATCACGCTCTCCTTTGCTCTCTCATTGTGCAGTGCTCAGTCATACATCCTTCAGCACTGCCTGCTGAGTGCCGCCTGTGTGCCCACTGCCCCAAGCCTGGGTCACAGTGTAGTTTGTCCACATCTCTGCCTCCTTCAGTGCCAGCTGCTTAGACACAAAGGCTCTTCCTTCCTCTCCTCCAGCACGCTGCAGGTTTGCTGAGAGTATGCTTGAGTGAACAAACCAGGGAGGGAGGGCACTGGATCATGAGCATCTCTTCCAACACTAAGATTTCCGTTTAATGAAAAATTAGTCAGAAATTAAGGTGTAAATTTGTGGATGTCCGTAGCCAAAATCTCATTTGTTGTGCAATTTATGTTCACTTACTAAACTCATTCATTTAGTGGTAAATAAAAGTTTGTATATATTTTATATATAAATTTGTGGGAACTCTTTATTTTGTGGAACGAAGTGTTGTGGAATTCTAGAATCACAAAGTCAATTGAAAAAAATGTATATTTTGGTAATCCCACAAGGTAGAAGTGTAATGAGCACCTACAATATTCTAGAGCCATTATTTTTGGCTATGGTTATACATTTTGGCTTGACTTAATGACTCAAATCTAAACATTCAAATCACGTATTTTGGATTTGCTTTGATTTATGTTGGAATATGTAGGACATAAAAAGTTATTTTTGGGTGAAGAATAATTCGCCTTACCAGTTATGTTGTCCTTAATTTAAGATATATAACTATAAAACAGATAAATTAAGATCTGATTATTTATATTCCAGGCATTTTTTTTCATAAATGAGTATTTTACTGGATGAGAACTTTAAATTCACTTACTGTGCCTCATGACTTGTATTCATTTAATATTTATATAAGTCACAAGTTTCTAGAATATAACTCATCAAATGAGAGTTACCATTAGAACTGAAACATCGTATTTTGCATATAAATGTGTATAAGGAATGTATACAGTGAGCAGTTGAGACAGTGATTAATTGGGTTAGTGAAAGAGTAAATAATGTGGAAGGGACAAAGATTGGGGAATGGTCTATCTACCTTAATTACCGACTTACTGCTAACACTCGTAATAATCAGACTGTCGTTCTGAAGAAAACTGTCTGAAAACCCCTCAAATGATACAAATACACTTTTATGTTTGAATCCTTCTTTAGCTCCAGTGATCTTAAGTGTTAAATGAAAAGTTAATTGAATTTACCTTCAGAAATTGAAATAAACAAAGATGCTGTTAAACCTCTCTTCCTTCTCATAGGTATAATATTGAGCCCAGCCTGTACTGCCCGTTTTTCTCTCTTGGAGCATGCATGGAAGGCCTGAATATTTTGCTTAACAGACTGTTGGGGATTTCGTTATATGCAGAGCAGCCTGCAAAAGGAGAGGTGTGGAGTGAAGATGTCCGAAAACTGGTGAGCTCCCGCTCAGCCTACAGCTGCATGCGTTAGCCTTTCAGTTTGGGAGTTCAGTCAATGGCAGTTTCATCTTTACATTAACTTTGCCCTGATTGTGTCCTCTGCCTTATTTCTGCTTCACAAAAAAATCTAAATTGCACTTCTGATTTAGGTCACTGTATAAAGTATCCAAACATAAAACAGCAGAGTTCTCTTAAAAAAGTTTTTTAGGACAGCGCATGCTGGCTCACGCTTGTAATCCCAGCACTTTGGGAGGCTGAGGCGGGCGGATCACGAGGTCAACAGATTGAGACTATCCTGGCCAATATGGTGAAACCCCGTGTCTCTTAAAAATACAAAAATTAGCTGAGCGTGGAGGTACACACCTGTAGTCCCAGCTACTTGGGAAGCTGAGGCAGGAGAATCACTTGAACCCAGGAGGCAGACGTTGCAGTGAGCCGGGATTGTGCCACTGCACTCCAGCCTGGCAACGGAGCAAGACTCTGTCTAAAAAAAAAGAAAAAAAGACAAAGTTTTTTTAGGAACTTGATAGAAGGTTGAATATATAAGCACCTTCATATATTCACAAATTCTAGTTACAGAAAAATTATTCATTACTTTGTATGTACCTCAGTGCCGTTTGGTCCATTTGGTTAATTCTCAAATCCATTACATGAGAGACCTTTTTTCTTTCCAGCCCCCATCCCATGTCGTAGGGGCTTATGTTTGCATCAGATATTAATTTATGTCCTTGTTCTGATTTATTTCACTTCTTTGATAATAACTTCAAGCCTAGCAATCATCCTTCTCCTATGAGGGCCTGCTTTATTTGAGGCATGCATATTTAAAATTTTTCCTCATAGGATTTGAGGCTTTGTTGACCTGTGTGTTAGTCACTAAGGTGTGGTATTGTTTTGTTGTTTGAGTTTTGCTAGCATGCTTACCACGCTGTGCTTTCTTCACTATATTTTAAGAAATACAAACAATCTCCTTGTCTCTCGGCCATGTCTTGTGAGTGTGGAGTGGGTATGGTGGTGGGATTGAAAGGAGAGTCAGGGTGGGAAGATATTCCTCACTGCATTGATTTACCTCAATTTCTGTTTGTATTATAAACTTCCAAAAAAGATAGAGGTTGATAAAATGCAGAGATACCATAAAAAGAAAAACTCGTAAGAGGAAACTGAGAGGACAAAATGCAGGTGATTAAGAGGTTTCCCCAGAACTGCAGCATCTGCACTCCACTGAGGCCCAGCACTGTTCACTTCTGGATCCCAAGTGTCTTGAACAGTTCCAGGCACCAATTAGGTCCTTAATAGATGTTTGATGAACAATGAATGTATACTTGCAAGTAATTTTAAAGCACAAAATTGGGGTTCCCTTTGATGGAATCCTTACATTCTGAAAGGACAAAGAAGGCAAGATGGAGAGTAGCAGTTGAGTCTCCTATAAGCTATGCCTCTTGGAGAGGGGATAGTTATATTGATGACTTTGAACTCAAGCTGGGAGCTCCATTGTGGCGTTTTCAAATTCAGGGGTTCTAATTTGCTTGGGCATATATCATGACATTCTAGGATTTGAAGGAAAAAATAATTTTGCTGCTAAAATTGTCCAGCCAGCACTTCGTCCCAACTCTTGTGGGTGGTTGGTAAAGGTATTGGAGAGGATAGGCATTCAGGAGAAAATGCCCTTATGAGGAGGATTTCCTCTCCTGGACACAGAATTCTCAAACCAAAATCATTTGAGAGATGGAGCAGAAGATGATGGGGGAAAAGAGAATCTACCTTGAGATAATGTGGGATGTAGAATGTAATTAAAATTTACGTTAATTATGTCTATATGTGTGGCTGTAAATGTTTAATACACGGATTCTTGTGTTAGGGATATGGTCCTACTTTTAGAGTATTGGATGTCCTCATTTACCACTAAGTTTAATTTTTTTTTCCTAGGCTGTCGTTCATGAATCTGAAGGATTGTTGGGGTACATTTACTGTGATTTTTTTCAGCGAGCAGACAAACCACATCAGGTGATCCTTTCTTTACAAACTGGTGTCTCTAGAACTCATCAGCAGTTCATATGTATTAACGTGAACTTTGTATTATTTTTTAAATTCCATGATATTTAAAAGTTATTAATGATGGTTACCAAATATATACATTTGAAATTAAGATAGCATTTTAAAATTAAAAAGTTTATGGAAATAATTACATCAATCTACGTTTGTCACTTTTATCTGGGTCACGGTATTAATTATAGTAATAATAAATGACAGCCGACGTTTAATGAATCCTTATTTGTGCCAACCAGTGCACTAAGTCCTTTATACACACCAACCTTTTAATGTTCACCTCAACCTTTTGACTAGGTTCTCACATTATGAGGAAACTGAGGCCAGAGAGTTTAAGTTACTTGGCCAGAAGTGCTAGGATTTGAAGGCATACATTCTGAGTAGATCCCCAACTTTTAACTCTTTTCCATACTTGACAGTGAACTCTTTTCCATACTTGACAAGTCTAAAACTGCAGAAGATATTCCATGTGGAAACCTTACCGACCACCAAGTAGCTCCTTATGTGGAAGACTTGAGGCAGCTCATCTCCTTTCCTTTAGCTGTGGGCCAACTTTGACAGCCAGTGAGCTTTAGCCATTTCATGCAGCTTGATGGGAAATGCCAAGAGTTTAGGTTATAAGTTATAACAGAAATAATGTACCTTATACTTGAATAGTGATTCACAATTTCCAAAGCACAGATTTTAACAGATGTGAGCTTATGAAATCTGGACAGCCACTGTGGGATTTGACAAGGAAGCATTCTAGAGATGAGGCTTACAGAGGCAAATCATTTTCCAAGATGATTTGGCTAGTAGGTGTGAAAGGTTGTAACAGGGCTCAGGTCACCAGACTCTGAGGCCAGTGTCCTTCCTCTTTGCTTAAATGGTTGGATGGTGGAGACACACCTTTAGTGATTACGAGCCCTGGCTCCTGATAGTCAGCCTGGGTTCAGAGCCAAGGTGCGGCAATTCTAGCTAGGTGTCCTTGGACATGTTACTTAATATTTCTGAGACTAGTGTCAGGTTTCTCATCTGAAAAGTGAGATACCTGCTGCATAGGGTTGTTGTGAAGGATAAGAATAAGGTGTATATATGTGTATAAATAAAGAATAAGAATCGAATTAAGTTAAAGTTTGTTCTCACACGTTTTGGTGAAATTTTATATTCATTGAAACTGTTTTACACTTTAGATTGCTGAATACTGTCTTCTTTTATGTTTTCTGATTCTTAAAGGATTGCCATTTCACAATCCGTGGAGGCAGATTAAAGGAAGATGGAGACTATCAACTCCCAGTTGTCGTTCTTATGCTGAATCTTCCCCGTTCCTCAAAGAGTTCTCCAACTTTGCTAACTCCTGGCATGATGGAAAATCTTTTCCATGAAATGGGACATGCCATGCATTCGATGCTGGGACGAACTCGTTACCAGCACGTCACTGGTAAGCCATGAGGAGGGCTTTTGTTTACTACAATCCTATACAAACATATATTTTCTTTTAAACTGGGAAAGGGGCTTTTCATTTGGAAAATGCGACCATTTCACCATGTCCTGTGGTCTTTATCTCAGACTGCCTCGTCCTGCCCTCCCCATGGCTGTGCAGCCTGACCCTCCTGTGCTTTTCTCATCCTTGCTAGCAGCTTTCACCAGGGAATAACCTCACCCGTCTATCTTTCAAGTTTGTTCCTTTTTACATTTGACAGTGTTTTATATTGAATTTAAGCTTGTGGCTATGTGTGTGTGAATAAAAAGGTATCTCCTTAATACCTACCACAGAGTTAATAAGTAAGTGAACGAATGGTATCTCTTTATATCCAAAATCAGAAAACTAAATAAAGCATGCTTAAAAAAGTAAGATGAAGTCCTATTAATTTTTCATATTTCCCCGTGTGAAATCTTTGTTCTGCTTTGCAGTTTTTTATGCTGTTATGTGGCCATATGTTATGACATCATAGACTTTTCCTTTTCGTTGTCTTATCCTTAAGTCTTAAGCTCACTGTCACACATGGTCAGCATTAGACCGCTAGTAAACTGTTGACATCCAGCATTTATTAACTAACTTTACACACAGTATTTTGGACAAGGAGAAGGTAGTGGAAAGACTTTAGGTGGGCTGAACAGAATCATTAAATGTCATCAAAATTTCTTACAGGATTTGTTGCTTTAAGTAATTTTGAGTTTAAAATACTGCTTTTCCTCACTGAGAATTGACTTTGTTACAAAAAGCAATAAATGGATAAAATAAAGTACTTGTAAAACAAAGGAAGGATAAAAGCATTAGGTAATGGAATTTAGTGAATTAAATACAAATGCTATATTAATATTAGAAATGTTTTAATTTGTGATTCATGTATAGCCAGCATAGCTGAAGACAGGTTTGTTTGTAAAAGGTGTGAGCCATTACTTTATAAGGTGTTTTAGCAGCTGTGCAAATATTTTGTTTTACTTTTGATATAAAGGAAAATATATAGGATTATAATAAACTTTTCTGCAAATATGTACAATAATTTTATAGAAGCAAAATATTGATTTAATGAATTAAAGCTTATCATAGTTCATCAGAAGTACAAATAAAATTTTAAAGGGCACATAAAAAGTAAGATAAATATATTGATTTGATTCATGCCAACTTTTTTTTTTTTTCCTTGTTTTAGGGACCAGGTGCCCTACTGATTTTGCTGAGGTTCCTTCTATTCTGATGGAGTACTTTGCAAATGATTATCGAGTAGTTAACCAGTTTGCCAGACATTATCAGACTGGGCAGGTAGGAATAGTAATATTGTCATATTGTCCTTTGGGTTGTAATGGTTGGCATTTGTGACATCCTAGATAAGCTGAACTCTTCTTAGTTTTTCAGAACTCACCCTCTGTTAGTAACAAACCTTTTATTGTTTCTTTTTTTTCCTGATTCCCTATCTTCTCTTTTTCCAAACTATAGAATCATAGTCCTAGCATATAGTCATGTGTTGAAAAATAGCTATCCTTTATTATATGCCTGGTAATCTCATAACCATCCCATAAGGAAAGCACTTTATCCCCATTTTCCAGATGAAGAAACAAGCTTTGTATTAGAATAGGCATTCAAGCCTGTCTCACTTCTAAAAAGCCTTTGCTTCTCAATATTTATTCTGTTGGTCTGAATTTTTATGTTGTCTCATAAAATGAACTAAGTGCCTTATTTTGCCAGTATGCTTAGCATCTCTGTGATGCTTAATCTGAAAATTCCTTAATTTTAAGGCTTAGATTTCAATGATGCATTGTAATATTAAAGATTTTTAAATTAAAATGTGAGATACCTTATACTAAGTTAGCTGTAAGTTGTCAACATTATGCTGTTTACTGTCCACATGTACATTGGAAGATGTGTTCTTTCCCCTCTCTCAGAATTCTGATTATATTAGAACCGTATTATGTGAGGTGATGTTTTTCCCCCTCAGACTGTATGTACTCCCTGGTACAAATGTAAATTGTATTCATCTTTGAATCCTTAGCACCTAGAATCTTGTTTCATACACAAAAGAAGCACTAAAAGAAATTAAATGAGGGGATGAATAGAATTTGAAACAGAAGGACCTTAACCATCTTTATTTGTGACTCTTGGTCTGATTATGTCTCCAGATGCGTAATATTATTTGGTGATTTTTTTTTTAACTTGATTTTATCTGTTATTGTCAACTGTAGAATAATCAGGGATCTTCTGGCATGGTAGCTCATGTCTGTAATCCCAGCATTTTGGGAGGCTGAGGCAGGTGGATTGCTTGAGCTTGGGAGTTCGAGACCTGCCTGGGCAACGTGGCAAAACCCTGCCTCTACTAAAAATACAAAAGCTAGCAGGGTGCAGTGGTGCATGCCTGTAGTCCCAGCTACTCAGGAGGCTGTTGCAGGAGAATCACTTGAACCTTGAACCTGGGAGGCAGAGATTGCAGTGAGCTAAGATTAAGCCACTGCACTCCAACCTAGGCAACAGAGTGAGATTCTGTTTCCAAAAAAAAAAAAAAAAGAATAAATGATATTCTGGATAACTAATCTGAGTAAATCTTCAACATAATCTATTTCAGTTATTAAGATGGGAAATTTGTGATCCAATTAACTTCCCATCCATTAACTTACAAAGAACTGTCTGGGAATTATGTAGACTTCGCCAATAACAGACTGGCATACCCTACCATGTGATAGTATAATCCATCTAGGGCCATGTATTTTGGGAGCTGGGAATGATTAGAAGTTAGTTGATTGCTCCCTGCATTGGAGCAGAGCCAAGTGCACAGGCAGGGCCACGAGGGAAGGCCCCCAGCTCTGCCTGGGGGAACTGGGGAGGCGCAGGACAAGTGCAGGAGGAAGGTGGTAAGGGAAAAAAGACAGAAGGGGCATTTGCCAGTCAGCTCTCAGCAGTACTCATCTCTTCCACTAAAAAATATTTATTGAGGACATACTGAGGACAGAGACCCTTCGGTCAGAAGACACTGAGTTTACTGTTTACCAGTCTCTGTTCTCGGCATCCGAGAAACAGCCAAGAATAAGTCAGGCAACATCGCATTCCCCGCGGCCTTTGATTCCTGGGGAAACCGAGACCGAGCCTGAGTGGGGCGTTGCCGCCCAGAGGCCAAGCCCGCGAGAGGCGGGGTGCAACCTCTAGATAGCTGGGGAGGCTGGCCAGGAGCTGGGGGCCAAGGGCTGAGGAGGAGGCGGACAGGGAAAGACGGACTGGGTCTGCTGCTGCTAGGTGCTGCGGAGCACAGATGGGAGTTTGAATCCTGATGGAGAGGAACCCCAGTAAAGGCTTTCAGGCGGGAATCAAATTTTTACTTCCAGAAAATCACCCTGGTGTCAGGGAGCAAGCAGATTGCAGGGGGTGAGGGTAGAGCCTAAGAGGCTTCCTGGAGATCGGCGGCTCCGGCTCCCGGCTCCGGGGCGCAGCCGCTCTCCCCTAATCCCGGCCGCACAGCCTCTCCTACTGCCCTTGCTGGGCGGCCTCAGCCCTGGCCCCCCAGCCCCCCGCAGACAAGTACCTGGCTGTTGAGGGGTCAGGGTGGGAGGCAAGAGGCGGCGAAGGGGCCGTCACGTTTCCGGGGTTCCGCCAAGGTCAGGCTGAGGGAGGCGCCGCCTAGTGTGGGAGACGTGGGGAGCACTGGTACCCCTACGAGGGGTTTCTGCGAGTCCGAGGAGTCCAGAGTGCGAGTGTGTGGTGCAGGGCTGGCGCAGGAGGGCGTGGGAGGACTCGCGGGGTCACGTGGGGGACACGCGGCGACTGCACAAGAGGACCGGGCCTTGCACGGTAGTCTTTTTTTTTTTTTTTTAAGTTAAATCTGGAGTGGAAATTCAACACAAATACAATTTTTTTTTTTAATTGCCATCTACTTACAGAACAAACAGAGGAGCAAAGAAGGGCTGGAGCCACTGCTCCAAGTGTGATAAAAGGTCCCAAAGGAGAGCGCAGCGCTTCCCAGTGCTTGTATTCTTAGTAAATTCTTGTGTAAGAGGATGCACTGTTGAGCTAGATGCAAGAAAACAAGAGTAAGCCCAAGTCTAATCCGAGATAGATGAGATAGGAAGAAAAGTTCAAAACTTAGTTCAAAACTAAGCTGCTTTGAATTAATTCAAGTTTCAGACACAGAAGACCATCCAGTGCCCTTAAGGGACTTACAGACATAGTCTCTAAAGAATCTAGAATAATTTTGTGATTCCGTGGAGAATGGAAAGCGTGCCCAAAGGCAAGAGACATGTAAATGCTTTGAACTTCACAAGAGCTTGCCTCTTCTTGTCACTAATTAAGGCACCAAGGAGGCTTATTTTCTGTTTTTTCAATTTTAAGGACAGTCCTAGCCTTAAGGATAAGAAGTTAATTCTCCAAAATCCAAGTCTTTGTAAATAAATGACATTTAAGCCCATAAGGAAAAAATAACAGGGCTACATGTTTATGCTTAATTTCCTATCCTGCTGCATTTCAGGAAATGATTTCTTTAACATTATGAAATATATTCCAGAGAGCTCTCAGATAGAGGATCATCAGTGACTTATTAACACCTACAAGTGTTTTATCAGAACTGTATCATAGCATAGCCAATGAATTCCTTGTGGTGGAAGAATTAGAAGTATGCTTATCAGATTTGCAAGTGCCATGCAGCTGTCAGAGATAACAAATACCAGAGGTGCACATTCAAGATTCAGAATGTCTTGGCAAGCTACCACATCAAAGCTAAAGTAGAATTTATTGTAAATTAATCTTAAAATCAATACCACAGTATGGAAGGAGTACAGACTTGGTTGCAGTCAGGTGTTTGGACATAATAAACTTAACATGGATCAATAGTCTAATGCAGTTTTCCCATAAATCTTCAAATGTAGGCTACATTGGTGGAGCTGTGGTGCCTAAGGACCCAAAGGTCATTGTCTGTCTTCTCAGTGCTTGTTGGTTTTGACCTTCAGCCTTACTTCTTCACTGTTGCTCCAGATTAGCACAGAATTATGTATAGGTGGCCTCATTCTTCTGGAAGGATGATCCTTGTCCTTGCTAAACCTTTCTAAGGTGCGATTTTTTTTTTTTAATGTTTTGATTTCTGTGAAAGTGGGATCCTCTTGTTAGTTACCTATTTATATTTAATAGCTATAGTCTGTTCTCTGTTCCTTATAATGGAACACCTGAAAATGGGTAATTTATAAATCTATTTTTTACAGTTTTGAAGGCTGAGAAGTCCAAGGTCAAGGGGCCGAATCTGATGAGTGCCTTCCTACTTGCTGGGACTCTGCAGAATCCCGCGGTGGCTCAGAGCCTCACATGGCGAGGGGGCTGAGTGTGCTCACATGCTAGCTCAGGTTTCTCTTCCTCTTCTTATAAAGCCACGAGTCCCACTCCCATGATAATCCCTTAATCCATTATTATCAGTGGATGAATTAATCCGTTCATGAGGGCATAGCCCTCATGACCCAGTCATCTCTCAGTACTGCCCCACTGGGGCTTAAATTTCAACATGAGTTTTGGAGGGGACAGATATTCAAGCTATAGCAGTGGCATAGTGTGCTGTTTCCCCAAATCTGTCATAAAATCACAGGGGCTCTTTACAAATTATTGGGTTCTTAGATTCAAGAAAAGAGGATAGTCTAAGCCCCTATACCCAACACCAAAAGTGCTAACCACCGCCACTGTTCAGTCTGATACCTGCCCCTTGACCTCTGCTGTGGTTAGAATATGGTGTGCTCCATTAAAATTTATGTTAAGACTTGGTACCCAATGTAGTGGTATTGGTAGGTGGTGCATTTGAGATGTGATTAGCTCCAGATGGATAATGTCTCTTTCTGGAGCTGGATTATTTCTCTGTGGAATGGATTTGTTCTCATGGGAACAGATTAGCACGTTGTTATGAAGCAAGCTTGCCTCTTGTATTTTGCCCTTTACATAGGCACTGGGTTCGCTTTCCATTTCTCTGCCATGCTTTGATGCAGCACAAGGCTGTCACCAGAAGCTGCCAGATATGCCCAGTCTTGACATTCCTAGCCCCCAGAATCATAAGCTACATAAGCCTCTGTTCGTTATAATTTACCCAGTCTCAGATATTCTGTTACAGCAACACAAAACGGACTTGGTAATTCCCATCCCTACCCACCTCTGTGGGGAAGCTAGGCTGTCCCCAATGCCCAGATCATTTGGGTACCCAGAGTTTTCATCTTCTTTCTTTGACTGTCCCCAGATCCTAATTCCTAATGAGGGCAAGATCTATTTTTCTGTGCCCTAGATTTGCAGTTTCTTCACATCAGGTTTTAGGTAAA